AAGCAGTGCTACTACAACTCCCCACAAAAATGATGACACAGCACCACCTGCTGAAGGTGCTAAAATTTGGGGGAAAATTGATAAGAGGCTGCAGAAGATAGAGAAAGACCAATTGAAGACAAGAAAACTTGTGATGAACAAGTTAAAAGAAATGGACAAATTTGTTTTGGGTCAGTTGGGATTTCTCAACTTTGCACCTCAAGCCTCTGATGTAGCAATGCCAATGCAGCAAGGGAATGATGATGAAGGAGAACACGAAGAAGAAATGGAAGAGGTGGTCGAACAAAAAGATGATGACATGGAAGAGAACCCCTCAGACGAAGAAGAGAAAGATGAAGACTATATCATAACTTGTAATAGTTCTAATTTAGAAGAAGGAAACATCTAGGTTGTATTGCTCTTTTATTTTCTTTTTGCTATGTGTAATCTCTTGCATCACTTAGGAAATTAATGAAAAAAGAGGAACATGTTTGCTAGCTAGTTAGAATTTTAAATTCGGTAAATTTACTTTTCAGTTTAGTTTGAATAAAGAAGTTAGGTTATACATTATAGCATGAGAATAAAGAAAAAGAGTTGGAAAAAGCCTAAATAAAGAGTAACAAAAAGTTTTAGAATAATGATGCATCAATAAGGTAAAACAGATTGCATTTTTATCTATGTTGTTATGATCTTTTTTACTGTAGCAGGATAGTAGTAGTTACGTTGAATGAGAGTAAGTGCTCTTTAACTTTAAATGCAATGAAATTATAAATTGGAGGCTGAATTGAACAAGGCAGAAGGCAACTGGAGTCATTGAACACTCAAGCACAAAGGATTAACTTGAAAGTAAGAGAAGCCGAAAGAGTTGATTACGGATGAGGACTTAGGATTCAAGGTTTGATGGATTTGAATCTTACCATATGAGTAAGTCTTGAAGGCTATAAGGGTGAAAGAAGCCGAGCTAAATCAAGTGCAAAAGCACAAGTGAAAAAGAAAGCCCCTCAAAAAGAAAAATCAAGTTAAAGGTAAAAAAAATAAAATAAGTGCCAATGCACATGAGTAAAGCTCACAAAAATAAAAGAGGGAGCCAAAGTCAAAAGAAAGCAAGGTGGACACTCGTTCCTTCAATTCTCTGCACATAGGATTTGATTGGCAAAGTATGGATACGGCAACTAAGTCTTATGATTCTTAGTTTGATACTCTCAAGTGGATCAAGCCAACAAGGAAGTTCTTCACACACACACTCAATACTCCAGAAGCAAAAAGCCAAGAGAAGTCAAGCTAACAAAGGTCCCAAAGTGGAAGTGTAAGCCAAGGTTGAAAAGCAACTCTCACGTGTACATTGTTGTTGGAATGCTACATCAGAACTGCTCATCTCAATAATAGTCATTGTTGCAATTATGCTACTGAATTTATGCAGGCCAATTAATCAGTTTCTTCTTTGTTACTCGAGGACGAGCAACGTTTTGAGTTTGGAGTGTGTTAACTCTCCCAAATGAGAGTTAATTTGGTATTTTATTGATGAATTTGTTGCATAAATTCCATATAAGTTGTCTTGTTTGCATGATAATTAAGCTAAATGTTGCATATTCATGACTAAGTGCTTTGAGATGACTAACTATGGAAAATGAGACAATATTCCTTGATTTTGTATAAGAATAGATGACTTGTTGAGTGTTTATCTTTGCAGAAAAAGTTGACGTCAGAATGATGTAGCAGAGAAGCTGACGAAATAATGATATAACAATCGGTACAGCATGACAGCGTGGACAAGGGAACAACTAAATTTTCAAAATTCAAAAGTTAGTTATTACCCAACAATTGGAAAAGACACCAACAAGGAAGGATCAAAAGCGCTCTTGAAGACTGATTCTTATCCTAAAATCGCAAGGATCAAGGACAACAAACTCGTACCTAGTCCATAACAATATTGGCACAAGAAAATCAAGATCTTATCCAATCAAGTGCCAACAGCCCAAGAAAATAGGAATAAGATAAGGCTGTAGCAACACGATTCAAGGAATCTCACTCCCAAACCTAAGACCTAATAATCCAACCACTTTATCTATTTAAAGTGAATTCCCCCACAGATTCAAGAGGTTCGAAGGTAGATCCGAGGGTTTACAGAAGGAGGTTAGATGAAGTTAGAAAGAGGCTGAGAAGTCAAAGGGACATTTTAGAGAGAGAAAGTAAGATTCTTCGAGGAGGAAGAGCTGCTGGAGCAAGACCGTGACGAAGTTTTACAACAACATTCATTTTCATCTTCTTTTCTGTTTTCCAATGAGTTCTTTCTTCCTTTTCTCTGTTTTATTTAATTCCATTATGAGCTAATTTTCTCTATAGGTTAGGTGATAAAGTACCTATGCTGTAACATTGAGATGTATGCCTAAACTTTGCTTTTATTAATGTTTAATTAGTTATTCAACGAGTTTGCTTATTCTTATTCATGTGTGCATGTCGAGAGATACATATGTGATATTGAAGAGGTTGGGGCCGAGAGATTTCCGAATCCAGACCCTTGTTGAATTGTGTGGATTAATTAGGTTAAAGTTAACTTGATTAAGTTGTGGGTAGAGAGATTATTCACACCACATAGCCTTTGAACTTTAACTTTAACAATTCAATAATTAGTTTGGCCATAGAGATGTGGGAATTAGTTATTGGGTATATATGTTAGGTTGGCCAAAAGCCTCAGCATATCTTAGTGTTCGGTTACTAGTTAAACATTGATATAGCATTGTTAAAGCATTGTTTCAGTATTGCTGTATCAGGGAAATTGAACCTAACCTATATCTCATCCATCATCTTAACACCTTTAAATTTAGTTTATTGTTTTCTTATTTTTAATTGTCTTTTATTTTATAAATCCAATCATCAAAATCAATATTTTCCTATTTTCTTTACTTTAATAGCTGACACTTTATACTTATCTCCATGGGAACGATACTTGGACTCACACATCCCTTTATTACTTGTGACACGTGTACTTGCGTATTTGTGTGGTAGATTTAATTGATTACAAATTGCACAACACCAGGAGAAAGAGACGAGGAAAGACATCGTAGGAAGGAAAAGAAATATAAAGGAATCACGGTTTGTAAAGTTAAGTTGCTTTAACTGGGTAACAACTTATCTATCTACACACCTCCATTCAATACCAAACTTTACCCAATGAACTAGAATATTTTTTCTGTCATATTCTTAACTTTAATTTTGTATTCTGGGTAATTTTTTCTCCACACATTTTTACCCAAAAAATTTCATTGACTATACTTTTTACCTCAAAAGTAACCCTAATTTATTTAATTAGGTCTTTTACTTAATTTAACCCATGATCAAATATTTAATCATATGCCCTTTTCTAATTAAACAGGTTAGGGATATTGTAGTCCATGAGACTTTTTTTTTTTTGGTACAATAGGAGGGCACTAGCCCAGCAAACAGGAAAAAAAAACTATCCAGGGGTGGAGATACCTCTACCATCCCTAGCCTCTAACAACAGCCTATGCCTCACATGAAGAGGTGGTTCCTTTATAATTCTCCTTTCTCGAACATTAGATAGTGCAGACTTTGCTAGCAAATGAGCACAATCATTATTTTGACCAGGGGAATGACTTTTCTTTATCCCCCAATCCTTCTTTAGCCACTCACATATCTCTTTTATCACTGTAGAGTCTCTTGCTGTTGCACCACTTCTGTCCAAGATTGCTAAAGCATTTGTAGCATCCCTTTCCACTATGAGCCTCCTCACACTTGCCTCCCAAGCCACCTGCATACCTAGAAGTATTCCATTGAGCTCAGCATCAAGGGGATTGGTATATCCCAGAAAAACTGCATATCCTACAATCCAAACATCATTGGTGTCCCTCAGTTGTCCACCGCAACTCGCCGCCCTACCCTCACTATTACATGCTCCATCAAAGTTCATATTGATCCAATCATCCTCTTGGGGCTTCCAATAGGGTGTTACAGCTGGTATAGGAATTGCATAGTGACCTGTGCTTGAAGTCAAAGTTTAATCTGATCGATTCATACAACTCACATATACCGAGATTCACTGTTTATAAATGTAAACTCTTATGAAAAAATGGAAGTAGACAGCTAAGGTCAAAATCAAATTTTAAAATTGATTTTGATGTACTGAGTGGGGAATACAAAATACCACTTGATATCTGTTTCTTATTTGAAATAAAATAGACATAAGAATCTTTTTTGAATTGAACTCTGGGAAGGGAAGAAGATAAGAAGACAATTTTGCTGAAAGAATATATGGAGTATTTGGTAGCTAGTATTTTACAAGATTTTCGGGAAACTGAATTTTTTTAAATTTTTAATTTTTGGATATTATCGTAAATTGAATATTTTTATCATATTTCTGAAAACTGATATTCCCGATTAAAAAAAATTCTCCTCTATCAAACGCCCCTATAGTGCGACACAAAAAAGAATGCTCGCATAACCTCTTACAAATAGTTCTCGATCCACGTCAAATTGAAAATGCAAACATAGCCCGAAATAGCCAATCAAGACCCCTCCACGTAACCCAATATTTGAAGAATTGCAATGGAACATGAGAATGTAAATATGTACATAAATGTTAAAAAAATCAGTAGAAAAAAAAAATTAGAATCCCGAAAAATCTGTTTCACTTTATATTTATAAAAAATGTTGAGTCACGATTTGGATGACACTTATTGGTGACTGATGAAAAGACACATATTCTCAACTCAAACTTTTTATTCATAACACATTAAGACATATGCTATGCACAAACGAATGACTAGCTCTACCACATGATGCCAACCAGAACTTCAAAAAGCTTTATGCACGACAAATAGTTTTTAAGAAATGACTTTTATTAAAAAAAAATTACAATTCTATGTGAGACTGAGTTATAATAAACAAATCCAGCTTTTACACTTTCACTTTCATCAAAGCCACTAAATTGCACAACTAAGTCTCTCAGGCACTCTCCCAGAACTTGGTTGCTATTTGACAAAAGGTGATTCATAGAAGGGGCAAAATTATAGCCCAACCCTTCGGCAGTGTATCTCTCACCTTCCTTTTTGACTTTTTTTCAAATGTAACATAATTTTTAGTTCACTATACTTGTACACAGGATCTCCATATCCTTCCCTCGAAAGAAATAACAATGATGGAAACATCATCATGATAACGACGTCTATCACCCTGTGGAATTTCAAGCAACTCGTGAAAGTCCAAACCTGAAGATTAAGACAGAATAATTAGTACAACCACGACCCTTTCGGTTCTAAAGCGCAATTATGTGATCTATTAAATAAAAAAAATTATATAGTTTGTACCAGGGGCAAAAAAAAAAAAAAAAAGTAATACCAGCTTTCTTCGCGGCTCGAAATAGTACTTCTTCAACCAAATGCTGAGCCGGGTCTCCCTCAGGTTGCAACATAATGAAAAGCTCAACTTTAGCTACTGCTTCTTCGTTTGTCAAGTATTGGTAGAGCCCATCTGAGGATAAAATCAAAAATTTGTCCTTTGGGCCTAATCTATGGTGCTTTAGATATGGTAGGCAGTTTATATAAGGAGAAGTTCCCATGTAATCTATTCGAAACATCTTCAAAAGTGCATTGTTCCACTTAGGCTGCAAATGTTCAAAAGGTAACCGGCAATAAGCAAATGTAGAATAATGGCCCTTGTAGAGTGGGGAGTAAAAGAAACAATAATCAAATGAAGAACAAAGTTAGAGACATTTCCAAGTATTAAAACAATCTGCATTCACTTATTTGTATTCAGCAAAAAAAAACCTTAAGTAGTTTGTAAAATTTGGTCGATTTCTGATAACCATTACCATTGATAAGTTCACATCTCAGTTATGTTCGGAATCCAATATCATCGAAATGGAAGGAAATTAATCAGTTTCTTACTAATTACTTTTTCTCCTTAAGAAAATCACATCTGGCTCCAGTTGTTTCACAGAATCAGAGCTCATACTAGTGGTAGCAAAATTTGTTTCATCCGAGGATTAGGTTAGTTAGAGGGTATAATAATGTTATTCCAAAACTTCTTCACATTCATTCACATAACATGGGGAAAAAATGTAACTGAACTGCAGATAACTGCAGGATATATACATTTAGATATTATATGGATATTAATACACATGGACTAACATATACCAACCTGTTTGAGAAATCCAGCACCGAATGCTCGGGTAACCTTCAGAGAACCCTTAACACGATCATTTACCACTGCACAAGCATCATCCGGGTGTTCTTTTCTTATTCTCTGGACTTCCTGAAATGGAAAAAATGAGGAACTTTTTCTATCAAGATAAAAAGCAGATGAATGCAACTCTGCTCGAAACAGTCAAATTGAGGTAAACAACTTACTTCTTCCACGTTAGTACTATGATCCTTGGTTAGCTGAAACGCACTTAGACTAGGAACCAAGTTTGTCCCATCACCATCCCACGATTCAAGATCATTCATTGTTTCTTCATTGATCCTCTCCAAGTCCTGCCTTATTTTCCCAAGCCAATAATCAGGCTCAGCCTTTTGAGCTAGCACAGCTCTACTATCACCTACATTCAACACGTAAACATCCTCCCCTTTCATCAACATTACAAGAACACATGAACCCATCAACGCCAGCTCAGGGTTTTCCATGACCATCTTATCCGCAACATCCAAATAAGACTCTTCTGTTTTCCTCAGAGCCTGAGAAAGTGCTTCCAACACTTCTGAGTGATTAATTGCGCTGGTCCCAACACATCGATTCAGTTGCTCCTTTAATCTTGTATCAAGTTCTAGATACTTTCTCTTCAAAATAGGATCAAAATTCGCATCAGCCCCACTTGTGCACGGATGATTCTCTGGCTCAACACAGTGAGAACAAGCATCTCCTCTCTTCCTCAAATCACTATCACTATCATTCTCACTATCACTGCTCGGCAACAACGAATCTCGCATTTCAAAATTCTCATTTGACCCATCATCCCACAACAACCCCTTCAATTCTTTGTGCACGGCGGGGTAAAGATTCGAAAGGAGGTAATCAGGAGCATCAGGACCATTGAAGCCATCATAGATTCCCACGAAAACCCAACCGTGCTCATCGGATACCACGACATGAACACGGTCCTCCCCTGCTTTCCCTTGTGCCCAATGAAGATTCTGACTTTCCATGGAATCATCATCTTCCAAGCTACCATCGCTGCCAAAATTCACGCTACTCACAGTCAGATTCTCGTTATGCTGTTTCTCCGCCCCAATAATCCATTCCAGATCTTTAACTTTAACCCTTTTGATCGATAAGGTCTTCGAAATTGCCCTCTGAAGAAACTGAAACCATCGACCCTTCTTCGTTCTGGGGCTCAAAGCGAAACCCCCATGAGAAAAGCTTCTCTGAAACTGATCGGAGCTACCCTTTTCAATCGGACCCGAGAACAACCCGCGATCGATAGGACCCGACATGAATCCACGCTCGATCGGACCCGACATGAACCCTCGCTCCATAGGACCCGACCCGGGAATTCCACCGAGATTTCCCGAGAAGGGACCCGAGTTCATGAGGTTCCTTGGGATTGGTTGAAGAGGAAGCGAAGCGAACGAGGTTGAACTCTCGAAAGCCGCAGCTCTATCAATGGAGCCATACGAGTACAAATCCACCAACGCCGTGGAGAGAGGAGTGGATGTGTTCGCACTCACGGACGCGCCGGAGATTGTTCGGAACGTCGTCGTTTCCTCCGAGTGAACTTTCGAAGAAGATAAACGGGTCGGGTCGGGCCTAACGTAGCAGAAAGAGTGCCCGTGTCCCTCGTCGAGTGGCTCCGTTATCAAAACCGTTATGTCCTGCTTCCGGTTACCGCCGGTGAAGCACACCGTTAGCTTCCGTAAACCGTTACCCATCGCAGCAACAGAGATGTAACTAACAACGCTAACTAGTGTAACCGAGTGTTCATAGCAGATAGTTGTAGATGGGAAGCATAGGAGAGAGAAAGAGAAGGTGAAGAAAAAGAAGCTGAAGTTGAGAGAAGAAGAGAGGCGTTGACTTTGGGAAAAGAGTTTTTTCTTGAAATAAGAAAATGTTCGGTTTCGTTTTCTTATTAAGAAAACAAAGTTAATGATGTTTTGGGGTGGGGCGTTGACAATGCTTTATAGCTTAAGTAAAACTCAAAGGTGAATGATTATTCGTCAACTAACCTTTCTTGGGGAGCGTGAGACACACGCTCTGCCTCAAGTGGACAAGATCTGGGACCATTGGTGAATGATTTTAGTGTGCCCCACACCACATCACACGCTGCCTGAGGATTGTTTTCGTTTGGGTGCGGTACAAAAGAATGTGAAATTACAATCAACCCTGGGTGAGGATTATAAAGTCAACATGTAGAAAGGTCAAAAAATAAAAATAAATTTTTTTTTTTTAAAAAGTGAACCTTGATAAACGTGCCACGATCACCGTTCGATCCAAGAGAGCAAATTGCCAACTCTGATTTCCCAAGAGTTGTTTGAAAAATAAAATAAAAACTAAACATCAACAGAAACACTTTGCTATACTTCAATGAATGTGTTATGGTGAGATGATGGAGTGGTGGTTGGATAATGATAACGGTGAAATCACTCTACACAGTCTGAATATTTGGATAATTTGACAAATGCGGGCCATTACTTTCGTTGAATATGCTATTCAACATTGCTGTTGACATTTCAAATGGAATAATATTTAGTGTACATCTACTTTTAACAGAATAAGGTCTCATAATTAAGAGTAAATGTGAAAAAATATATATGTATTTTAAGACAATGTCTTAATAAGCTACCAAACACGGACATGAAAATTTTCAAAATTTTGGGTGTCGGACACGGACACGTATTCGACACGGACACGCTCAGACATATTTGGACACGCGTTCGACATGCGGTCAACATTTGGAGACACACAGTCAACTCTCCGACACGTTCTGACACGTTTTTCTGACACACAGTTAATTTTTTTGGACACGCGGTCAACGCTCGAACACGTTTTTTTTTAATCTTAATTTAATTTTATTAACTAAATATAAAAAATTTAATTTATAAATTAATTTTTTTCTATTATGAAGTTTGACATGAATAATTAACAAAGTACGAAAAATTATTTATATTTATATTTATTTTATGAAATTTAAATATTTGATCGGTTATATGACTTATTATAGATTTTTATATGTATTAAATATAAATTATATTATATATATTAAAAATTTTATTTAATATCAAAATGTGTCCCAATGTGTGGAAATATGACATTTTTTAGAATTAACGTATCGGCGTGTCGTGTCGTGTCCCGTGTCAGTATCCGTGCATCATAGTTAATAAGTATGAGCAATATTATTTTTTTCATGTCTTTGATGATTTTTGGGACGAAAGGTATACTTTCTTTTTTCTTTGTTAAACTTGGTAATTTAATAAATACACTATAAGCGAAGATAGTGTAGGTTAGAAATTTATTATTAAAACTGTTAAACGAAATTATAAATTGACCTCGTAGAAGTATTATACAGAGCGTGAAAAAAAAATGTATCTATACGTAAATGCCTATATATATTCTTTTCAAGTAGGCACTTTGGTCAATTTCCATCAATAATTAAATTTATTTAAAAAATATTTGTAAAAGTAAAAACAGTGTTTTGCACTTTGCTTGTAGTGTTTTGTGAGCACATTTTCTTTCATAGTATATATATTGTCACCTTACTAAGTCAAAGAATTTATCCTTATAAGCAATTCCTTGACGGAATGGAACATCTTTCACTGTTTTCTTTATTACATTTTATGATTTCAATCAAGCATTAACAACAAGATAATTGAGATATTTACGATATCAAACCAATAAAGTCAAAATTTTGGCGACATTTATAAACTCGCATGTTTAAGTTTTTTATTAAGATATTTATGTCATTTATTATATATACGATAAAGTTTATATTAAAAAGGTATTAAGAAAATATACGTTCCTAAAAAAAAATACAAAATATATCTTATATTAATTTTTGAGCATAAACACACACAAAATAGATGTACAGATCAACATTACTTATTATTAAAGTTATTAAGAAAAAAACTGAATGATTTGTCCTCGAATCAGGATACATGACTTCGTTGTTTGAATAAAAATCAGCAATTCAGAAGTCTGACTTTTCATGTAATAATCTTCGTAAAATATAACAATTCTCCTGTGATTATAACATATAAAAGTTTGACCCATGGCATTTAAAATCACTGTACCTTTTCATGAGACCATGTAGCATAGGTAAATGGTTTAGGTACATGATTGCTTTCGAAATACAACGCCACTCTGGAAGGAAGGGTAAGGAATGAATAACCCCTGTATATATTACATATCTAAAAAAAATCTGGCATCAACCAATCAGAAGGTTCTTTTTTCTAATCAAATCAAATGTGGTTATTCAAACAATGAAGTGCTCGATTAATTTCCAATTTGTTAATAATATTGAGCGCGGGATTTCAATGCCATCATCATTCATTATTTGCAAGTGGCAGGACCTAATTACTAAGCCACCTTCTCCACAATCCATTTGCATGACCCACCTACTCTTTGGCACCTTCATTTTTTTATGAACAGCTACCCAAACCATTCCATGATAATATAGAATAATGAAATTCAATCGGGCACTTGTTTATATATATATATACTTCTGGGCTTCAATAAGATGAGAGGCTAAAATTCTAAGCATCGTCTATTAATTTATTTTGGTAAAGTAGTAGTTCAGATTTGTTTTTAGAAATATAAAGATATCACTATCGGCGGACAAAACCATTCATGACTATTTAATCTTTATGCCAATTATTATATGAGCAATGGAACCACACGAAAACCTCACAAGTTGCACATTCAAACAATATTTTAGGAGCACAATTGCAGTTGCATCTTCTTTGCAACCTCTCTAGAAGATACATTATGGACTATTGCGTTGGCTCAGCTGCGCGATAAATAGTTATAATAATCTCGATTTGGATCCTTAAGTTTTGACTTCAAATTATATATATATTTCTGGGTACTAGACGTCAAGTTATGTTATACAATCAGAAATGGTCTCACTTTAGAGGATTTCTGGCTTCAAGCATTGCTATCGTTTTGATTTTTTAATTCAGTTTAGTGCGATGTCTTTTATTACCTCGTGGACCTTTTGGCTATGCCCACATCAATTTGGTATGCATCCCAATGCTCTCCACTTCAGCTATTATGTCTATATGTAATTATGTATTACTGCTTAAGTATAATTTTATATATGTTTATTTTATGGGGGAAAAGTGTGTCAGCTAATTTTAGTGTGTTTAAACTATATCTTACTGATAAAATATAGTATTAATACGAAAAATTATTTTTTTTTTCTTTTCTCAATTATATCAGCTATGTAAAGTGAAAAAATATAATTTTTTATATTATAATTATATTTTACTGGTAAGACATAATATAACACACTAAAAGAGGCCAAAAGGGTTGTTCTTTAAAAGTATATTCACTTCACCTTTATTTTATTTCTTATTTCGTACTAACTTTTTCTAGTCATCTTATCAAGCGTGTCCCAGTTCAATTCCATTAGGATTTAACACTCTAGAAGAGGATAGCTAATAAATACACGAGTAAAATAATTTATTGGAAAAAAAAATAGTTTTAGTTACAGAGAGTCAAAAGTCATTTTATAAGAATAATCGCAATGTTTATCACTGAGTTATCCACACGGATGGTTTTTTTTTTAAGCCAAATTAAATATTTTTCTCAGTTAATTGATGTGAATTATTTGATGTATTTTATCCAATGTTCTTTAAGCTTAGCCTTTTGAGACAATTTTTTATATGTAATATGAAAGACAACTAATTAATTAGTAGCTATAAAGGGAATATTGTGATTGTATTAAAAAAATAAAAAATAAAGGGAATATTGTGAGCATTTTTTGTTCATTGCGCTTGTGGAGAATTTTTTTTTTTTTGGAGTTACCCAACCCTAATTATCTCTTTGAGACGAGTTGGCTCCCTCCGGTATCCCCACGAGCTTCGACTCTTTGAGCCGGCTATGAGACTAATCCGGAGTGCGGGAGAACAGTGATGGCTAAAGGTTCAGCCCCCTCCCCAAAAATGCATTCAGCGGGAATCGAACACATATCCAACCCCACTAACTCAGCGCCAAGTTACCAACTGAGGAGAAACTTTCATGGTATCTATTCACGGAATTGATAACAATATGCTTTTAATAATGGAGTTTCAATTTATGACGTAAATAATCAAATATAGTATACCACACCAGAGGAGTACATGGGGATTTTAAACCTAAACTTTGAGAATGATTCATCTACTAATTACCATGTCTTTGGAGCCTTTGAGTCCAATTATAACAAAACAAAAAAAAACACAGGTACCGGAATTTCAGCATGGGAAAGAGAAGAGAGAGAAAATATTGATCATTTAGTGCTCTAAATTTTCCAGTTGAAATAATTTTTTATATTTTACTTAACTAATATGTGAAATCCTTCAAGTTTTAATTAATAAACAATTCAAGATGAATTTTATCTTACATTCTTGAGTTCATTTACAAATAATTTTACCAACTGAGTGAGTCAGTTGACACCTTTTTACTACAAGGAAAAAAATTTATATTCAAATTCAAGGAAACTTCATGAACTACTAATTATTCTACTAAACAAATTTAAATGCAGGGGAGTCCATTATAAGATTATAAAAAATAAAAATAAAAAATAGAGGGAATTGAGAGAAGAGGTAAAAGTCTAGAGATTTTTTTTTCTTTTATAATAAGGGGAAAAATATTTTATTTTTTTTGGTATTCTAGGGGAAAATTATTTTGTTAAGTGCGTAGCAAAGAATGCTAGCCATAATCAAAGGGAATTGGTGTA